TGATAACTCTCTAGAGAGGTAGATGGAGTGTTAGGCTCCAATTAATCAATGTGTATTTACAACACGAATATCTTATATGGTCATATTGTAATTAAAATAGCCAATCCCACTAGTTAGACCTCTAGTGAATGATTTCTTATTTCTAAATGGGCCTTGAAAGAATCAATAGTTATATAAAAAATTTTTAATAAGATTTGTTGTAAGAGGACAATCTTTCGATTTTCATTTTTGCCAAGTGTCACTTTAGAAAGCACTAATCCATGCCTTTCAAGTCAAAGGGCGGCGAAAATTTAACTGGTAATAGTGGACCCAAAGATGAGAGAAAATAATTCCCAGGTAATAGGGAGCTCCCAAAAGTATTAAACTATGGAGACCACTTCATCATATGTATTTATTGATCAATTATATGATATGAACATCAAGAGAAAAGTCTAAAATAATTAATATCCTTAGTCTAGTAAGCACTTGACATAGATCAAGAAGTGCAACAGCGCACCCAAATAATAGATGACAATTATAGATGATGATATAAATAATTTTCATTCTCAATTAGCCAAAGTTAAACATACTAACCAAAAAGTAAGAGAGTGAGGCTTTTATATAAAAATCTCTACCATTGAAAACTATGAGAGCATGCTTATCAAGAAATGAAGTTGCAGACCTTTGCATAACATTAGTTGTGCTATGCTACCTCTTATTAGCAGCTATGGTGAAAGGTGGGAATACAAGTCGTGGGAGGTTGAACAATAATATGAAATGAGGATGAATGTGATGGAGCAGGATCATCAATTGATACCTAATGGAGAGGAATGTCTAGATGAATATTAAGATGAAACCCTAACATCAGCGTTGGTATTTGTTGATCAATTATATGATATGAACATCAAGAGAAAAGTCTAAAATAATTAATATCCTTAGTCTAGTAAGCACTTGACATAGATCAACGTACCCAAATAATGGATGACAATTATAGATGAAGATATAAATAATTTTTATTCTCAATTAGCCAAAGTTGAACATACTAACCAAAAAGTAAGAGAGTGAGGCTTTTATATAAAAATCTCTACCATTGAAAACTATGAAAGCATGCTTATCAAGAAATGAAGTTGCAGACCTTTGCACAACATTATATGTGCTATGCTAAAAGAATAAGGAATACTGAAAGACAAATCCAACTGTGTGGAACCCTTCTTTTTATTAGCAGCTATGGTGAAAGGCGGGATAACAAGTTGTGGGAGGTTGAACAATAATATCAAAAGAGGGTGGATGTGATGGAGCAGGATTATCAACTGATAACTAATGGAGAGGAATGTCTAGATGAATCTTAGATGAAACCCTTACATCAGTGTTGGTAAGCACAAACTAACGAGATGAGGAAATTCTAGGAAGCAAGATGGAATACAACCTCCACAATGGTAGGAATCCCAAGAAGCAAGATGGAATACAACTTACACAATGGAAGGGGAGGTAGGCCTCAATCAAAGTCACCAACTAGTTATGTTTGAGCAAAGAAAAGTTAGAGTGACTTGCAATTTGAGACTGACATAGTCACCGGCAATGGCACTATAGTTCTTTCTATGTTCTCTGTAAGAGTGATGTGATGTAAGTGAGAATGTTATGATTCACGAACTTGAATATCATGTGTTGTACCAAAGAGCACGCACAAGCTCGTCTAAGGCGATGCAAAATGGAAGCAAGAATGCTAAGGACTCATTAGAATGAAAGCTCACATTGAGAGAATAGTAGACTGATTACAGTAGGTTGGATATGCGCTATAGTCAATGCTATGTCTTGTACAAACTTTTTTTGTTGGCCACACCATGATGAAGCATAGGGTTTGCACAAGATTCAACAAAATGTGACATCAAATGCTACCTACAGTATCGAGCTCAAAATTCTGCCTAAGATTTACTCTGGATAGAATGCTTCGTAAATCAAAATTGTGTCTAATTTTATAATCTAGTATAAAACTTGAATTAAAATTTATAAATATTTTATTTTTATTTACTATAATTTTTAAATATTAACTTACTATTTATTTTACACAATTCATGAAATTTATGTTAATCAAATATCTACCTTCAATTTTACAGGGTTATGTAAACTTGAAAGTTGAGACAATTTGGAAATAATAATATAATAAAGATAAATTTCATAATTTTATAACCATGAGCACTAACCTTAATATTGTTCTATTCAAAGGCCATGGATCTATTATATGTTTCAATAAATAATAACCTATATAACTGATATTGAGTTAATTAGATTGAATTAGTTAATTTAGTTGAAATATTGTATTTATTTTTTGGTTAATATGTCACATATTTTTTTAAGTTTTATATCATATACATGCAAGCAATTTATGCTTTGAAAAGCTTTTCTTTTTGGTCCTTCAGTTTCAAGATTTCTTTATGATTATCTATGCACGAGAATTGTCAATCTAGAGAAAAACAACCATAATGTTTCTTCTATTTCATTGTTTGTGTCTCTAATACAGATGGTGCTCTCTCCTTCTCCCCTTAATGCCCTCACTATTGGCAACCTTTGATAAACTTACTCTTGCCACTAAGCTGTGATGCTCCTTTGCCGAACTCTAAGTATCAGTCTCTTAATTTAGTGGCACATTCCTCTTTTTCTTTAACGTATAAGAACTCAACCGCCCATGCCTCAAATACAATATTTGTAACATCCTGTAGCTCAGATCCATTTGAAAACTCTTTTTTTGACTACAATAACTTGTCCATCAAGCCTTCTGTTGATCTCACATTGCCTCCATTTCAACATCCGATCTAAGAGAGGCGCAATATTGTTTTCAGAATGAATCCAACTTCTATAACAATAATCTTGTTTAGTGTGAAGAGCTTTAAAACAATTGATCAATGTGAAGTGTGCTCTGCACGGAAGAGACCAAGTTGATATATTGATAGTTAGCTATTATTTTTCGTTCTTCCTCTTTCCATGAATTTCTTCTCTTCAGCAAGCTTGGCGTCTACATGAAACCTTTGTCAATGCCATCCATTGATTAAAGACAATTGAAGTGTGAAACTATGAAATATTGAAGGGGAGAATTAAAATAAAAAACAGTAAAAAGATGTGAGATTTCTTGTCAACTTCCAAAGCTAGTTATACAAATGCTATTGGTTCATTTTAATATTACAGATACTACCACAAGGACTTAAATGTGAAGCTTGCTAGTTGAGAGAGAGAAAAAGCTTCTAATGGTGGCTATTCAATCTTGATGACAATCTTAATTTTGAACTCCTTCAGTAGCCTCATGGTTTGGCAATAACGTATCCTAGACCATCAAATGCTTTCCTTCATGCAACATGGAGAGGTTAGCTCATTTCTTAGATTTTCACTAATGCAATAAACCACAAGTTTTGTCTTTTGTGCTAGGGATGATGAAACTAAAGTGCTACTGAAGTTGGGCTCGATACACTAGTTGTCAAACTTATTTTTCAACCTAAAAGTTTAAACCAATGAGTTAACCAACCATTTGGTAATTCTATTGTACCGACATAAAATTTCTTTTGTGAGAGATTTCTTCACATCAGTCATCCCCCCAGCCTCTCCTCAACCTCAACAAAAAGGCCATTTACATATGTACCACCCAATTCTTATGTATTTACATATCCAGCACTTAAACACGTGGAACTATCATTGCTTGAACCTTCAACATGTTAAAAGTTGCCTGAGATCCAAAAATCACTTGAAACACTCGATCCCAGGTATAATTAATAACTATGATAACATGTTTGGGAGGATGAAACTGAAGGGAGAAGTTGAACCAAATACATCAATGGAAAAAAAAAATCTATTTGTAATCTAAAAGTCTAAGCCTATGGATAACATATTAGCAATGTATATTCTACATCAACTTATTGTTAACCTATTTTAATATGGAATTAACCTCAATGCTCTTTCATGCTTTAATTATATCCACATTGATCATAATTTTTCATAAATTAATATTCCACTTTGGATTTGTTAGAACTTCCATTAAACAACTAATAAAGCCCGACAATGAATGTCGGCTTCAAACTTACATGAGGTCATATATGAATGACCACATGTACTAGTGCTCAATAAACAAGCATCATTGCCAACATTCAAAGATTTGTTCTCGTTGCTTCCATCTTATAATCGACCACCATTGTAGGCATTGGATGATTGACTTTCGCTGCAATTGTTGTCTTCTGGAGGCTCTGCAAACTTCATGTGCATGCATGCTGCCAATTATTGCCACTAGCCTCATTTATCAACTTTTGGTGGCTGCTGTCAATATTCTACAATAACTCATCCTGACATGCACACATTTACGTTACTGACATCCAAAACAGCCTACAAGGTCATACTTTGATGCATGAAGACAAGAATACATGCTTGTATGCATGAATGAACAAATACCTAAGTGCATGCTAAAAAATGATTGCATCTTGGCATGGCATCCAGGATTAATACATACACATGTTCATGTTTGCATGTTATTGCTTTTGACCATGGCATACCCTAGACATTGGACATTCCATGCATGAATTTGTATGGAAACAGTATACTTGTGCAACCATCTGGTGTTGAAGAGTTCGTCGATAATGTGTTTCATATATTTGATAAAATAAAAATATTAAAACTAAAAGTCAAAAACCGACTGACTGTTCTTGTGAGCTGGTTTATTTATAGTGAAGGAAATAAAATTTGATTATTTGGATGGTTTGGATAGCCAATTTGTTTGCATTCTAGGCCTTGTCAGTAACCTGACCAAACCATTAAATTGTTCTCTTACTCTTGTTAGGCCTTCTAATATGCATATTATGGATGACAAATAAAGGCTCTTGTGGTTACGATGCCTCTATATTGAAGATATTCCTGATTGGATATTGTTATGGCTGTTCTTTTCTTTACTTAAAGTATCTCGATGTCTAGTTATGTATTATATTTCTGAATGCTCATATTTTTGTTTTTCAGCCTGAATTCTTTTGTTGTCCTTGTTTTTACATCAGGTCTTTCCTTAAGTTATCTTGGTGTTTTGTTCATTTTCAAGCCATCCGTTTTAACACAAGGTATGCATTTCAATAAAAAGTGAGTTTCGAGTTTTGAAAGTTTTGGATCAGTATAGTTATCAGTTCCATATTTAGTTGTTCCTTCTACTGTTTGTTCAGTTTTAGTTTAGTACTATACCCTAGTTGCATGGTTATAATTAAGTCTTATTATGCTGATTTATTACGTCAATTAACAACTCAACATTATCCTTAATGCAGTTTGTTAATGTTTACAATGAATTACTTTATTGGAATGTCGTGGTTGGCTTCATATGATATGGAGTTTAGTTTTTAGTTGGATAAAAATCCCTTAGTTCACCAATACTAACCATAATCATTTGCATATTGTAGTGGGTGTAGAAGTTATAATATATCATTAGCACATGCAGTAGCAAGTACATATGCATAGCCCCAATGTCCAACAATGTTTTAAATCAGTACTGCTAGAGATGAAGCATCTATATGAGATATATTGAGGGTCCTCGGTTTTCTTGTGCTTGTATCTGACTCCATTGGCTTTGATATTGGATAGAAAGGCGAACAAATAAAAAACTAGAACTAAATAATCTGGCTGAGTTGTACATTCATGCTATCATATTTTACACCTATTGTCAAAACCCCTAAACAATAATCACCGCCAGTGTGACATATCCCTAAAATGAAAAAAAAAATCAAGAAAAATCTCTGAAGCTTTAATTTTTCTCACCTACGTGATAATTTCATAATTACGTGTTAATCGTTTCTTCTCTTTATCAGGCCCATTTAAATAAAATAACCCAATTCAGGAGAAATAAATGCTTCTCTTACTACCATAATTTTGCACAAATCCCTAGAACTTTAGAAAAACGTAGGCTGGTCATGACAATTATCTTATGACTTGATAAATTATAGTTTCTGATAAAATTAATTTTACGTCATCATAACTAATAACTTAGGTTTGAGTTTTATGTTATCATAAAAATAATTGAGGAGAGGATTTATGAAGTGGTTCAGTATAAACTGTATCTGATGTACATCCAAAGAATAATACCCAAGGAACTTTACAAATCGGATATTTGCAAATGCATTTATATTTTATTAAATCAAAGTCTAAATTCAACTCAATCCACTAACTCTGAAACAGTTCTCAGTTTTAGGGTTTTTATTTCATCTTCCTTGAATGGTGTTAGCAGTTTTAGGGTGTTTGCTTTAACAGATGCAAGGAAACAGCCTATTTATATGAAATCTAGAAGGAAGATTTCTTGGAATAGTGGTTTGCTTCCCTTTTGTTATTTTTATTTAATAAGCTAATTGTTTATTCTGATTAATTATCCAACAATTAGGATTATGATATTACTTGTAAGCTGTAATTGTATGAAATTCATAAAAATATCAATTTCAATCATTCAATCAACTCATGTTATTGTCATGATTGATTTTACCAAATAGTCGCAATTACTAAATTTTAAATAATAACCTTAAATTGATGTTACTAAATAATCACTTGTTTTGCTCGGAAATCAACTATACAACACAACATATCATAGCACAAGGTTACAATGCTAAACTGAGGGTAAGCACTAAATCTCGGATAATATAATCCTCTCACGTGTACACCAAATTCAAAGTAAATAGATTTAAAATCCATAAGAAACTAGTTTTTGTTTAATTTAATTTCATTATACATGCATTTGACCTAACTTAAACTGATAAATATCGAACGCAAATATGTTTAGAGCTTAAAAGATTGAAATTATTTTGTTAACCCAAACCAACCCAGCTCGATTCTGGATTAAAGGCATATGGTAAATTTTGTGCTAATGAATTAGAACTTCCATGATTTTGGCTTAAACTAAGGGCCTATTTGGTTGTCTGTATAAAAATACGTAGAAATAGAATGTATTGTATTATAATTGTAGTGTAATATGCCTCAAGTTTGCTATTTGGTTGTCTGTAAAATAAATACAGAAAAATTATTCTTTTTGTTTGGTTTTATGCATGTAAAGTAAAATAAAAAACATTATATTTGAAATACTTGAGCTTGTTGGGTTGTCTGTAAAGCAAATACAGATAAATTATTTTTTATATTTGCTTAAAAAATTTATAATAAAATACATGTACATTATTGTCGGCCGTTTTATTGTCCAACCTTCGTGATTTGAAAAAGAGTGATGATTTTGTGCTTTTGAAAATAATTTAAATATAAATATAACCTTTTTTTGATTTTTTTAAATGTAACATTTTAATTTTTAAAATAAGTGAGACCAAACGAGCCTCACCTTTTAAATAGTTTAGATGATTTAATACAATACTACAAGCAACATATTTATCCCGAAGAATAAATATATCACTTGTAATAGAGATTCAATCATCTAAACTAAACAATTTGTGACATCCGTTTGGTCTGCGAAATATTTTTATAAAAAGGCCAACAAGTTCCCCTATCTAACATAAAAATTAGATAGGGTTTATTTTATCTGGGTTCCTGGTTCCCTATAGAGGCAAGCCCCTATAGTTAATTACATCTTAAATGATCGAAATCACTTAAGATAACTCTCGATTAAGATCAGGTGGTTTTGCTTTCAAGATTTCAAAGTTTAGGTTTTCACGATTGGACATGGGAAAATCAAACGGGAATGACTCAAAATAGGAACAATTATTTAAGGAATTCAAATGAAAGAGAAGTAGGAGATATCACAGATCCAGGAGAAACCCCGGAGATGTCCCAACTATCCTATTGTTCGGCTTTATGTCTTTGAAGAAATAATTATTTGATGTTTCAATCCTGCAAATTATTTAAGATTTAGGACTTATGTTTGCACAACGTCAGACTGTGCAAATAGCCTAAAAGACAGGAGGATTTACACCGTACCGTACGATAACCTCGAAATCCTAAAACGTTAGGACTTATAATTGTACAACAGAGTTGTACAGAAAGCCTAAAGAGTGATTCTATAGGTTGCTTAAACTAAAGAAAGTGTTAGGTGATGTGAATGTGTTTTGCTGCTGCAGATTCATCTTGAAGTTATCCCTTGCCGTGCTGCCGACGATGTTCGCTCCAAACTCCTCGTAGTAGTACCTCCTGGTATAATTTTAGTTTTGAACATGCTCC